TAGAAAAAAAATTGAAATATTTGTTTTTATGTTTCCCTAACAGGAACCCAATTCAATCATCACTCTGAGAAGGAGATGATTACATGGTTGTTAATGATTTAGTTATGAAAGTATTTGCAATGCCATTTGTTAATAGCTTTGAGGAGCAAAGGTTGGAATTTTACTTATGTAATTAGAACAATTATATGTGAAAATTTAGGAATTTGTTATCAGTTTGTATTTATGAAGAAGCCATGTTGTTATCTTACTATCTTGTTCGGTTAACTTGCACTTCTTAGTGTGAGTCTTACGTTTGAGACTGAATGATGTTTTTTTTTTGCAGAGCTTTGTGTTGGCTTTCGCTAGATCGATTGCTGATTTCAATAGCTATCTTTCTACTTTGCGATCGAAATTGTAAAATTTTGTTTCATTGACTTTATCAATAATGTTGTTGAAAGACTGTAATATAACTAGCTCTGATATCAGATGGATCTGTTCAATAGACTTCAACGGATTACTTGTTTATTCTCTTTTGTTGTTAAGCTAAGCAAAGTAGCAAACAAAGATGCTTAGAATGATGTAAAAGGTGCTGCATCAAGCATCAGAATTCTAAAATAATGCGACACTTTTCTGAATACATAAACATTTACATGGTGCTGCATCAAGCATCAACTACGTAATATTCGATTCTTTGTATTTTTTCAATCTCATCAATAAGCTTGAAATAGTATTTAAATTAAGAAGTTGGTTTATTTGTTTATAAGATAATTGAATTTTCCAACTTAAATATATTTTTGTAGTTGCACGTGAGTTTTTTCTAATAGAAGAAAAAATAATGAAATGCTGTAACTATCATAATAAAGTAATATAATTTAAATTTTATCATATTTGTAGTAAAAATTATGCTATATGTTAAGAAAGTATAAGTTAATAATGTAAACTTTTGATATTATAATTTAGTAGAAAATATCATTTTTTTCTTAGAAAGTCATATATTTAAATTTATGTAAATTTTGCCTTGTAAAATAAAAAAATTTAATTACATATATTGAAAAATTAAGTATGGGTAATTTAGTATTTTATAATAAAATCACTAAAGCTAAACTCCTAAACAAACAATTTAACTCTGCTTTCAAGTATTAATAACCATTTAAAAAAATATTATCCAAACAACATTTTATTATTGAAACTCCATTTTATTAAACTTCCTTTTATAATATTCATTTTCTAAAACACCTTTTTACATAAGGAAAAATTGAACCAAACGAAGCCTAAGTGTGTGCAGTATGCTGAGTAGTTTGGTTATATCCTAAGTCGATTATTGGATAAAATTTTCTAATTGATTGGATTTAATTTGTTGAAAGGTCAAAGGGAATTTTATGTTCATGTTTAAGTTTTAGTACCTTTAATATTTTTGGAGTTCATTTTAGGTTCAATTTTAATTGTTAAGGTTGATTAATAAGATTGGTTCTTTAGTGTATTTTAATTAATCATTTTTAATATTTAAATTATTTAATTTAGTTATTTATTTAGTTCTTAATGATTTATTAGATTTTAAATGGTTTATTAATTTTAAAAATGATTTATTGAAGTATTAATGTTTTATTGAATTTTTAAAGATTTTTATTTAATATTTTGATGATTTATTAAATTGAATAATATATTAATTAATTTATTTATTAAATTGTTAATGAATTATTAAATTTTTAAGATTTTATTTAATTTTTAATAATTTATTTGATTATAAGATGATTAAAATATTAATTAGATTCAATTTTAAATTTATGTTCGAATATGATCTCTTAGTGGTTATGTGTATTAATTATGATTTGATTATTAAAGGTTATGTAAATTTTGTGTATTTTTATCTGAATTATAATTAGTGTATTCAAAATTTTCAATAATGATTTTTAATTTGATTATATTGTAATTAAGTATTATTAATAATAAACCACTAAACCTAAAGGTAATGTCCACTAAGTTTTCTATGGTTATGTATTTTCTACTCTAAAGTGTGCCAGCATGCATAAGCTAAATTTCTAAGACTCGGTCCTTAATTTTTTGTCCTTAAATATCACTAATGTTGTTATGGATACAAATTTTTATTACCACTAACCCTATCGAACATTGCGCGCATAAAAAGGGTTTAAAGGATCTAAATAAAATAAAATAATCACTAATAAAATATTGAACATTCATTAATAGGAAATCTAAAAGGAAAGGGTTCAACAAAACCACATCAAGGGCCTCCTGGGCTTTCTAAGCTTTTAGAATACTACAATCACCGGAGGCTATGAACCCGTTGGTTCGCCCGTATAGCCACCTGCCACCCGTTGGATGGAGGCCGACTGACGGCCTTTAATCCTTATCACTTGTTCCACTTGACCCGGTACCATTTCATCGCGCGTTCATGCAAGTAAGAAAAGGCAAAAACATGGGATTAGAAGCATATTTAATAATTAATAATGAAAATAATTGAAATTTATTAAAAATAAAAATGTATCTTCCTTCGGCGTTTGATACCATCTCATTGATTGGCCCTTTTGGAAACTTTTTAAACTTTTGATAAGCTGCATTTATATACTTTTCCAACAATTCACTTCGAGGGACAAGAAGAGGATGTAAAAGGGTAATGAGAGAGAAGAGAGGAGAGAGAGAGAGAGAGAGAGAGGTAGAGGGGAAAAAAACTCTGTGCTTTCTTAACACTTTCATTTTCTATATAATATCCAAACTAAGCAATCTCTTTCACTCCCACACTTTACTTTCAACACACTATGATTCACTTTTCACAATCAACCCATTTACACTTTCACTATTCGCACTTACACATACTTCACCTTTCAAATAATTTTACAACATTTTCAAATTTCAATGCGCATCCCTTTTAGGCACTCAAACTTTCAATTGCATACAATTCATTTTTCAACACACACACATTACTATTCAACACACCACATCCTTCTCATCTTACACCACACTATCACTTTTCACTTAAAGCATACACTTTCTCCTTTTTTCAAAACCGTAAAATTTACTATCTTAAATCATACACACAATTACCTTTCAAAAAAATCAATAATTCCTCATCTTCCAAAACATACACAAGTTCTACTCACATATGAACCTCCACATTTCATAATTCTTCTCATATCTTATTATTTAAATGTAATGAAAAGCAGATTATAATTATTATATATATAATATATATATTATTAGTATATATATATATATTAATATATATTTATTTATCGGAGAATGCTAATTTGTTCTAAATTATAGCTGGCAAACAAGTATGCTATGTGATTATTAAAAATGATATAAAATGCAAACCTGTGAGATATTGTGAATCAAAGTGGCTTCCAGATTTTCAGTTTTAGATTGTCAGCAACAGATGATAAGTTAATGGAAAAACTTTTTTTTTTTTTTTTTTCGCTCAATCTGGCTCCTTCCTTTCTTCATTTGGGTCACGGTCTGCATAAGGTTATGAATGTATATCGCTACCTGAAATCTGCATAGCATTGATAGACGTCAAAGCTACGTCAATGGGTATTCACCTAAGGAAAATCCTATAGGCGACGTCTATGCTAGGTTACGAAGACCTACGAGCTAGAGATTGATTTCAGAAAAATTTACCTCAAATAATGAGGTCAACAAGTCTATCGACTAACATCTCCTAACTTTAATCCTCTGGCCACCATCACCAGACTACTATTCTCCAAACAAGATGGCCCAACTACAATCCCTCGACTATGCTCCTATGACTATTATTGTTCGATAATAGATTCCCGATTATCTTCACTCAATAATAACACTCCGACCATGATCACTTGACTATGATATCCCAATCCCTGTTGCAAGACTTCGTCACTAGTTATTTCCAATAACGTTAATGCATGCAATTACATATAAGATTGATACTTGTCATCATTATTAAGGGCGAGACTAGTTGACCTCATCACCACAAACATTAATGCATGCCATCATATAAAACTTATGTATATAGTCGACACTAACTCTAGTACTCGACGTTAACACCATGATTTAGATAAGACTTTATACTTTGGTCTCCACTTTTCAAAGTAGAACGACCAAACAAATAGCAAATGATATCCTTGAGATAACGCCCATAATGAAATTTATTTTGTACAATTCATGTATAATATATATCAAAATCTTCCCAAATCATAAGGATATCTTTTGTAACTATTGACAAATACTAATAAAATCAGTTGAATTTAATCAGATCCTATAATTTTTACTTTTATTTTAATTTTACATAAAAATTCTAATATCTCTTATAATTTTTTTATCTGTGTATCTCTCTCTACTTATTAACCTGAATAGTCTACATGAAACAATTTTATTTGGAAGTCATTAATTTGAAATAACTTAATTAATGTTTTTAATAAGGAATGCGATTCTTTTTTTTTTTTCCAGATATAGAGGCAAATATTCTTTTACGAAATGATAAATAATAAATAATTATATTCTTATTAGAATTAATAATATTTATAAATATCTCAATATTTAATTATTTTATTATAATAAATATTTAAAATTTTACAGCTAAAAGAATTAGATGAAAATGTTTAAATATTCATTTAATAGCTTTATTTAGTACATATGTATACACTTAGACTTCATCTGAAAAAGCTTTCTTATTACTTTCTAATATAAAAATTTATAAAAACCTTTTATAAGCAACAAAAATAAATTATAACAAAAAAATTACTTAGATTTCATTTGAGACAACTTTCTTATAATTTTTTAAACCAATATTTTTATTAACAAATTTTTAGTTTAAAAAAATATTACACTAAAAAGTTATTTAAAAAAATTAAAAATACTGTTCCATAAAAAGCCTTAAAATTTACAATTTAAGGTTTTAATTTGCAATTTTTAATTTGCAATTTTTAATTTTAAAAATTCTTTTTTACCTTTACATACAAATTAAAATAATCAATTTCAAATCATTTAAATATAATATAAACATAAAACTTAATTAACAAAATGATCAAAACTGAATAATGACACTGACTCCCCAAATTCTAGCCGTTATGAGTCTTATGACTCCGTATAAATGTATATATAACACCCAAATTCACCGATACATAATCAAATAAGTAAACGCCACTAACATCTCCATAATTTACAATCCTACCACTGGCAACGGATTCAAGCATCCGCCACCCCTCTCCCTTCCCCTCCAATCCTCCTCACCACCGCATCATACCCCTCCGCCGATACCACCGCCAACTCCGCCAACGACCCCACCGCCACCGACAATCCCGCACATAGCACCCTCGGCCCCACCTCTTCCACCGCCGACGCCGCCGCCAAAGCCCCCTCCTCCGCCTCCCTCTGCTGCGCGCTCACCGACGCCATTCCCGCCGCAAAAAAATCCATCCCATCCACTGCCATCTCCTCACTCACCGACTCCACCAACCGCGACCACCGCACGCACACCCGCACCACCTCCGGGCATGCCGCGTCCCCTTCGCCTCCGACGCGAAGTGGGGAGATGGGGGAAAGGGCTTTTCGGCTTCCGGAAGTTTCGCCGGCATCGGCCGGGGCGCAGCGCGAGGCCCAGCCGGCGAGTGCTCGAGTGTAGGAGCGCTGGGCGTCGATCCAGTTGGCGAAGGAAGACCGCCAGTTTCGCAGTTCGGCGGCCAAATTGGCTGCGGGGCGCGGTGGTTTTGGTGGAGTAGCGGCGGCGGCGGCGGTGGCGTTGTTGGAGAAGAGGAGAAGCTTGGCTTCGTCAATGGTGCGTTTTTGGATCAGGTGGCAGTCCGCCATTGTTTTCCACATACGGCGTAACCTGCGCAGGAGGCACACAAAGGCGTCATGCAAATTCAAAAAAAAAAAAAAAAATGCTGCTTGATGAAAGAGAAGACACTTAAAAAGCTTGTTCTTTTCTTGGCTGGAATCTCTCCAATTATCCGGTAATTGAAGAGATAAATTCTCAAATCTCATGGTCCAATTCACTATGATTGCTGGAATTATTATAATTAAATCAGAATAAATTGTTAAGAAAACAGACATACAAATAGACATTGGCTGGCTGGATTTGACGAGGATCCGAATCAATTGAAGCCATGGAAATATAAAATAAACACAGAGAGACTAAGGTATCTTTTGAGGCAGTTTTCTTCTTCTTAAAGCAGTTTTTAATTCAATAATTAATTTTTTATTAGAAAATAACTTTAAAAAGCAAAAAAAAAAGACGCCCCAAACAAACCTAAATCTGTGAAATTAGAAGCAATGCCTAAATCTGTCAAATTAGAAGCAAAGCTCAAAGGGTAATTTTATCATTATATGACACATGACTTAATACTTCGTAGGTAAAGGAAGCAATGCGCATGGAAAGAAAATAGAAGAGTTTGGTAAATGAAATTTGGCTTAAAAAGAGCTAACCATGTTAAAAAGGACTGCACTGAGTCACAGGAGACTCTTGGACAAATAGTAGTCTGAGCTAATTGAGCCTAAGCATATCGTTGAGATTTTGAGTTCAACAAGCACATATCTCAACATCTAATGCAAAATAAGCTAATTAATGAGCTAGTTTTTTCAAAATAGTAGCAGAAAGGGGGGAAACAAAAGAACCTACTCTCAAAAACCATAACAATCCCACTCATCCTTTACATCACTTAAACACCATTGCTCCAATAGCTTTCCACACCATCCACTCATCCATTAACCACATAAAGAGGGCAAGAACACTCCCATGACATGCATCCCAAAATACAAGCCATCAGGAGGATGAAGTATATGAGGAATAATTGATGTCATGCAATTCACTTTAAAAGCTCTGGATTGATTTCATTTATAAATATTTTTCAAAACATTTTATTTTCATAGAAATTATGGCATTCTAAGGCATCTCCAACTGAAAATCTCATTTTTCACTCCAAAATGCAGTGAAACCAAAAAATGCCGTGATTCATCTCCAATCGAACGCCATTTTGCCCCGTAACCGTCATTCTCTTCTTTCGCACCTTTCTTCCGAAAGTTCGGTAGAGATAAAAAAATGGCACAGATGAACAGTGCAACACCAATATTAGCGTCGCACTGTTCATCTGCGATCAAATGGCGTCAAAAATGCCGGTCGGTTGGAGCAAAGCAAGAACGGCAAACAAGTGTTTGCCATTCCATTGGAGTTGCCCTAAGTGAACAAAAAGACTAGATATAGGGTTACTTGCACCTTTACAATTGACATGCAATTGGGGAAAGTTCAAACAGGACATTGCAATTAGTGATTACTTGCACATTCAAATGTTTGATGCATCTGTGTAATATGATCAAGCATTTCTTCCACCCATTTATAACATCCTTCCCACTTAATTTCTTATTTAATGTCTGCCAACCACATGAGATAAAGATCTACGCAGGTATCGCATGCATCATCTAATATACAAGGCTCGCACAATAAGTAATTTCTTAGGTAATGTGACTAATGTCTGCTTACCGCATGAGATAAAGATCGATGCAGGCATCATCAAATATATTGTTAGGATCTAGATTAAGGAAGAAGGCTCTTCTTAGATCTTCTTCTTGGATAAGAGAAATTTTTAACTTGGCTTAGCCTTCTAATTACAAACTATTTCACCTATTTATAGACTTCATAGGCAACATAAAACTATACAAGAATCCAAAGAAAGTACAATAGCAAATACTAACATAAGTCTGGATCAAATTATAACAATTGGTATAAAGCGATTATTGTATTTTGGTCAAATTTTAGATAGTTTGTACCTTTGGCTTATCTTACTAATTGAATTTAGGAGCTAATCATTATAAAGATTCATGATTTATTCTTATATATAACATTACCTAAGGTAACAAAATCTCCAAATTAAGATAAAATCAAACTTCTTTATTTTCCTTTATCCCAACTTATCCCTTGACCAAACTGATCCGTTCTCTTTCCTATATTCTTAATTTCCTTTGACAGTGTTGTTTTGTAAGGTTAAGTCCAACCCTATCTGTGTGTTTATTATCAACTAAGTTGGATCTAATAGATATAAAGATTCATGATTTATTTTTATATGTCATTCTGTAGGGCAACAAATTATCCCAAAACTTACATAAAATTTTTCTTTTTTCTCTCTCCCAACTTATCCCCTTGACCAAACTGACTCATTCTCCATTCTATAATCCTACTTTTTTAGGCTTCGTTTGGGACGACTTTCTTACTACTTCTTAAAGCAGTTTTTTTAGTAAAAACGAACCATTAAATAGAGTTTTATGTAGGAAACGACAATACCAAAGTTTAGGTCTAACCCTAACTCCCTTCACTTTCTCCTAACTTGTCCTCTTGACCAAATTGAATCTTTCTCAAATCCTCCAAAGCAAGTGTAATATTAGCATTAGACTCAGCCAACTCTCCCTCACTTTTTATCACTATTATGTTAAGTTGCAGTATTTATTAATCGTTTGCATCACTATCAATTTAACTTTTGGCACTTTATTCCCAAGTGCTGTTATAATAAATCGTTGCTTGTTTCTTTTATCAAATTTGCTATAGCAAATCTAATCTTATCATCAGACCCAATCAACTCTTGCTCACTTTTCATCACCAATAGATTAAGTTGTCGTATATTACTTTTGAGTGGCATCCTACCCAATTATCGATTGTTCGCATCACAATCAATTTGTTAAGCAATTTAAAGGAATCTTGAGAGCTTCTTGCAAGAGCGAGGTAGAGGGAGATGACATATATTAGTAGGAGAAAACCTAACCTAAAACTTTATTTAATTTGCCCCAAATTATTCATCAATTTACAATGTCTATATATAATCATTTACATTATCGTGATAACTTGCAGGATCAACTTATCCTAAAATTGGACCAACACCTGACAAAATTTAATTAATTCTCTTAAGCTATTCTGTATTTGGTTTATTTGTCCGAACAATATCAACTCCATTAGTTTGTTTCTTTATTTTATTTTCCAATTCTATTTAAAAAAAAAAAAACTGAACAATTACTACGCATTGGGCTTGCTTTTGATTTACTGAGAAGTCTGTAATGTTTTCTCTCTTGAGGAATTGCTAGCTAACATAACCCAAACCCTTACCTTGAATTGTACCTGAGCAAACTCGTAAGTTCTCTTCTAAAGCTTGATTCAGAAGTTTACTGGATCAAACTAATATATCAAACCAAACTGCGCAATTGTTGAAACTTAGGTTTCATTTGAGACAGCTTTTTTACTGTTTCTTAAAGCAGCTTTTTATTATAAATAATTTAATTTTTAAACTAAAAAACTATTTTAAGAAGCAATAAAAAAACCGTCCCAAACGAGGCCTTAATTAATAAGCTTTCTATGGCTTATTGCTAACTCAAATTGCATTCTCCAGCATAATTTTTGTTGCCCAAACGAACTAAAGCAGCACACATATTATGCCTGAATAATAAAGCTGATGAGAATGAGGTGAGCATACCCTTGTATCATCTCCAGAAGCTGAGGATGCAATTCTCCATCTCTCAACACTTCAATTCTTTTGGAAATTGATTCAACTGTTTGGATAGAAATTTTTAAGCGGGTGTGAAGGTCTCTTATGGCTGCTCTTGTTCTATCAACTACAGAAGGTTCATCCCCATTGATGTCGTGATTCCTCAGTTGCATGCATTTCTTCTCATAAGCTATTCGCACACGTTCACCAGACTGTTAGCAAGAATTCCATAAGAAAACATTGAGAATTTTTCAGTTTGGACAATCTTTCTCAAAATTTAGGTCATTTATGTAAGACAAATCATCAAGATGTAAGATAGTTCTAGTTCTTGATATTTGACAATATTATCTAGTTTTATAAGAAAACAGTCAAGATAGTTATAAATAATCTGTTTTTCTTCAAGAGCAAAAGGTTGTCTTGCAAAATGCCAATAACCGTTTGTATTTTTAAAAAAAAGTATCTTACATCCTGAGCTAGATTTTTAGGAAGATATCTCAAGCCAACTTCCTTGAAAAAGATACACTTAGGATTCAGTCTTGAAAAATAAGGTTTCATTTGGGACGGCTTTCTTACTGCTTCTTAAAGCAACTTTCTAGTATAAAAATATTTTTTTTTACTAAAAAATACTTTAAAAATCAATAAGAAAGCTGTCCCAAACGAAGCCTAGTTATTATCCAAAATAGCATAAAAAGAAGCACCTTTACTTCTTCATATAGTTTCTTCTCCCATGCATATAGCCTGTCTATGGTAGATTTGTGACTGCCGGATAACATGCAACATTCTTCTGAGTAATCACTACTGCTCTCATCAGCATCCCCTTTTGAACTAGATGAAGCATGAAAGAACTTGGAAGCCGATGAATGTGATGAGGTTGATCGAAACAAAGCAATTGGATTCAGCATTCTCACTGCTGCAAATATACCCAGAAAATTATATTTTTTGCACTGTGATTAAGTTGAATACAACATTCCATGCATTTATGGCATACTTTTTTTATTATTTTACCTGCTAGTTCATTCGAAGCTGAAGAGTACTGAGCTCTGCTTGCTTCTAGCATCACAGAGATCTCATGCGCGCAATCACATATCCTCACGAACTGATTCTCCATATCCTTCATCACCTCTGCCATACTAGCAGGTCTTCTGTTTACATAAACAGTAAATCCAGGAGTTTCTTCTGCATTACTGGTTCCTGCCACCTGACGCTGATTTGGGACCTCAAGTTCTACTGTATTTTCTGTATTTTGATCTTCTGATGCTTCAATGCTATGTGACCTCCCTTTTGACTTCAACTCCTTTACCTCTTGCAGCTTTTGAACCTCTACACTTGCAGAAACTGGACTTTCATCACCAACTTGAACTCCAGTATGCTTACATTCAACCTCTGGAGACTTTCTCTTTGCTTCAGCCCCCCAAAATATTGCATTCGCTCTGTCATGATCACGATCATGATCATCATCTATATCTTCTTCTAAATCAGGAATTCCTTCCGCTTCTCGAACCTGCCTCAGCCCAGCTATATCGTCATCATTTACTATCCTATCAAAACTGTTTCTTGAGGGATAACCATACTGATCCAATGAGGAGAAAGGATTCCAAAAATAATCCCACCTAGAAGCTTGAGGAGATGATGATTGATAGCCTGCTCTATTGTGAGGAGAAGAGAAGAATGATGATCTATATACCGGTGAAGATTGTGCTGCAAAGAAACCATTCATACCATAATTTTCCATTGGATGGTAGGATTCAAGCTGCACAGTTTGATGAGGCTCGGGCCATTCTTCAACAGCAACTGATTGATTTCCACCTGATCTCAAGTAATTTACAGTGCGAACGGTGCTCTTTACTGTTTCATTTGATGTTGGTGTGAAGAACTTAAGAGGAGCTCTGATTTCAGGGCTCAGTCCCTCCACAGGAGTGAATGGAGGAGTGGTATATGAATCAGATAGAAAGCCATGAAGGTCATCAGCCACGACATAATGTAGAAGAGCTAGCGAAACTCTCCTCATCGACTGAATGTAAGCCACGTGACCAGAGGCAAATCTGTTTCTGTGCTCAATAACCTGCTTAATGAAGTTCTTCCGGTCTTTGCAGAGCTGAACTGCTTCCTCATCATCCAGCTTAGAAGCTGAACATCCCATCTCAGCCTTCCTATGAATTCTTTAGACTCAAATCGAAGCCAAAGCAGAAGAAATACAGAAGCTTCAGGTAACTCATGTGATTATGCTCTACATACATTTGATTAATTATACGCCCTCCAAACGCTGCATTATTGCTAATGCAGGAAATGGATACCCGATTGAAGAAGAAACCAAATATTTTAATGGAGAAGTTGACAACTCCTGGCAACAAAGCATCAACCGTCAGAGAAGAAAGAGGAAATTTTTTCCAAAGTTCTGAACTTTACTCTAAAAGTTATTCACACAAGGCATGAAAGATGTGAAACTTACTACAAGAAGCTATTAATTACTAAATATTTCAGAGGGTTCATGCTATAAATTCCTCATGAAAACAGTGCCATAAAAAATTAATCCATTCCACAAATTAAATTCTAGCCAAGATTACAAAGGGCATAAAAGACCAAATTTTATGATCGAATAAATCACAATAGAATATCATGTTTTATGAGTGAAGAAATCAGTTATTCGCTACACAAAGCCATTAAAGGAGGGCAGTGGCCAAGTACGCAAATTAACAGATTCCTTCACTCATAGAAGAAGTTTATCAGTTAATGACTAAAGAACGTTTCATACTTTATACTGCCATTAACTGAAACAATGGGCTATCAGAGCTTACAGCTAAGAGTAGAGTTCTCTAAAAAACAATCTCCTCGTCTAATTTATACTATATATTCAAGAACGCTAAAACAAGACAACATATTTCTTACAGGAAGCTCAACGCCACGGAGACTTGCTTGCACAAAAGTGGGGGCGGCTAAGTTTTTTTAACTGCGAAGCCGAAGAGGTTATTGCGAGGAGTTTATTTTGTCTTCTTCTCCACCAACCCACCTCGAGACCGCACGCAGAGAGAGAAGAGGAAAATCGTACAGAGCAGATGAGCCTTTATTGATGGCTAGGTTAGAGAACCCTAAACAAAAAACGGAGAAGGAAGACAGAAGCGAAAGCTCAGCAACCTAAAACCCCCCTGCGGCGCCAAAATGAAAGGAGAAAAATACAGTGGATTTTCATAATGATGAGAATACAGACTTCACCCTGTGAAGAAAGACAGCAGACGAGTTCATCCAACGGTCAAATGATTTCAAAGAAGTAAAAAACTGCGGGGCAATGAAGATTGAAGAATAAAAAGAGGGCAAGAATATTTCTTTAAACAAACAATGAATGCCCTATGATTTCGACTTATTTACAATATCCACCCTTACTAATTCTTCTCAAAACTTCTCAGTTGTTTAACGGCTGCGATCGTTGACGCGTCATGAATTCTTCATCACCAGCCGTCCATTTTGCGGTGCGGCTTTAGCCAGAACATAAGAGTCATAGACCAAAAGAGAGGAGAATCAGATGCCCGTTTGGGTGGAAGGACGAAGAAATTAAAGAGACGTTGCGGATTTGTGAAATTCCAAAAATGGGGTTTGACCGGTCAACTTTACGCGTACTATTTCCAATCCGAAATGCGGTCACTATTTTTGGGATACCCTTTTTACCCTTAAAAGGGCAAAAATTTACTCTCCCCCATTAATGAGTATAGGGTAAAATTTTGAGAAATCATATCTTAAATAGAAACTGCCCTTTTATTTTTCTCAATTTTAATTAAGTGAATGCTTTGGAGAAATATATATACATATATCCGAAATGCGGTCACTATTTTTGGGATACCCTTTTTACCCTTAAAAGGGCAAAAATTTACTCTCCCCCATTAATGAGTATAGGGTAAAATTTTGAGAAATCATATCTTAAATAGAAACTGCCCTTTTATTTTTCTCAATTTTAATTAAGTGAATGCTTTGGAGAAATATATATACATATATATTGAATTAGAGTTCCCAAATAAAGTCATGACTCATGAGTATATATTTATGAGAAGAAAAAAAATCTAATCGGACCATTATTTTTTTGGATAGATCAAAATAAATTATAATTATATAAAAATATCAATTTGGCTATATAATTTTTAAATATGGGCTAACTAGTTTATTAGTGGGATCATTTAGACTCCTATTTAAAAAACTAATAGACAAAAACTTTTAATTTTTAAATAATCAAGAATAATTTCGATAATTATAAAAGGTTTAGGAAACCATTTCGATATTTATCTCTAAGAATTAATAAGTCTATGAGTTTCATTATTTAACTGAATATAAATTAAATAATTTTATTTTAAAATCAGAAATTATTAAAAAATAGTTTATTTTCTCAAATTTAATTAACCATTATACTGCTTTAAGATTTGATAAAATATTAAGCATATCGCAAAGCTGATTCTTTTCCAAAAAAAATATTGCTGGGTTAATTGTAAAATGTCAATTTGCTTTTGAAAAATTATAATAGAAATTTTAGATATTTTATTAATAAATATAAAATCTTAAGATTTTAAGTATATATTAAAATTTATTTAAGTTCTATGAAAAATGAAAATAATAGAGAATATATAAAGATTATCATTGACTGTTCAGATTTTTTGTGTGAGTTTCATTATGTAATTATTGAATACCCTTTCAATTGAATTTTTTATTTGCAGTTTTATCCATTTTGAGGGGTCTATATAATAATTAATCAAAATTTAAAGGAAATAAATAATTCGTATTTAAAAAAATAATTTTTATAACATAAAATAAGTAAAAGGAATAAAATTATTAATTTAAAAAATATATTTTTTCATCTCTAAGCAATTAAAGTAGCTCTATGTTTTGATCAATATTTTATTGTTTGGTTATTAATTTATGCATAGATTTATTCAATTTTAATTAAAATATTTTATTTTCACTAATTTTAAATAAATACTTTTTTGTAAATAATGAGCATTAATCATAATAATATATGAACCCAAAAATAAAAATTTTTAAAATATAATTTTCTTTGATTAGTTATTTAGTTAATTTAAAATAATTTAATATTTGACATATTATAATTTTGTTATTTTTTTATTTTTTTTTTTTTTTTTTTTTTTTTTGTTTTTTTTTATGTTTTTATTTTTTTTTTTTTTTTTATAGTTTTTTTTTTTTTGCTTTCTTGTTATTATGGTTATTTTTGATTCTGGTTTATTTTTTGATTTGTTCCTTTTTGATTTTTTCTTTTTTTTTGTTTTTTTTTTATCTTATTTTTTTAACTCGTCAGGTGGGTATTAGGAAAACTTAGAATGAAGATTAAAATGCGATAATTATCTTATTAGTGAAAATAAGGAATCTGTTTAAAAATAATAAATAAAATCGATAAAAAGTAAGTGAAGAGAATAGAAATATATCATACATAGGGGCCCACGCATTAAAGATTAGTCCTACTTTCCCTCTTACTCGTATATTTTCACGACCGGTCCATTTTAAATTACCCTAGAAGAGAGTTACTATTATTTACAACAGCTGGATGGAAATTGAAATGCGACTCATACGTCTGTTCATTGCAATCCACGCCGTCTTTGATTTGATAGACAGTAATTGTAGACCGTGCAGGGTGTTAACGGCCCAGATTCGGTTATGGAACAAGAATTCGGGAGCTTGGGCCTAATCATCGTACATCTCTGCTTTAATTGATCGGCTGCAAAATATAGTGCTTTTTTCATATCTTGTTTTTTATTTGCTGGTGGCATCAATCTTTGCTTACCCACAGATATAATGTGATTACTTTTATGTTAGCGATGTCTGCTCTAGATGGTTGTAAGTCATAGTGGGATTATATCTGTATATTATGTTTAAATTTTTTATATTTATTTATATATATATATTTTATTTTTAATAACATAAAAAATATCACTAATATTAGTTATTCTAAGATGAAATATAGTTTTAAGCATATATTTTAATAACATTGAAACACTGAAGTGTTATATAAATAAATATGAAAAATTAGATATTAAATATGTTGCGTTTAAGAACATTTGTGGTAGTGGAGAGGGGGAGTTTATTATAAAAGATTCATCGTATGTACTAAAAAAATTGAGTTATAAGACACTAAACTTTTATTAGCATGTTATCAGTTATAAACGACGCTTGAATTCAGTGGTGAAAATTGAAAGAGCATTTTGATATATAAGTTATATTCAAGAGATCTTTTATTATTTATTATGCATTTGATCGTTCTCCTTTGAAGAGGAAAGATCAATAATAAAGCATCAAGGATGAATGAATCTGGGTGTTAACATTAGGAGTCAAAGGTTATGTTGATGGGGTATATCAACCTTATCTGTGATGGCATGCATTGATAGTAATACTGATTGCATGTGACAAAGTTAGTAGACGTCATTGTGGCTAAGCGATAATGATCAACAGATAATAGACAGACAATGGGGCTTGGAGGTTTGTAGTTGCATAGCAATAGTTGAAAGACTAAAGTTGGGTGATGGGGGTGATCGTACTTAGGTGACATGAGGAGTATCATAGAAGGGCAAAGTGGATCAGAAACTTGTAATAGTTCATATTTTGACCCAAGTAAATAAATTTGTTTAAGATTAATTATAAGTTCAAATCACAAGTCATTTTTTCCATTTATAGATATTGTAGTATTTTAATTACATTATTTTTTTATATAAGTTTTGGGCACTGGTGAAAATACTAATAAATTGACATATATTGATATAAATAAGGGTTTTGAAACCTTTAGGTGTCAATTTTGCAAACCGATTTCATCAAAAAGATTTAAATAAAATGTTTTATTTTATGGATATTTTTATAATTTTGAAACTCCCATTTTAAAAATATAAAAGAATTTATATCAATTTTTCTTTAAAATTAAATAATTGCATAATTAGATTTATATATTACTATTATTATTATTTTATCACTAAATATCTAATTCCATTAACATAACTTATGAAAACATTCTTTTTTTCCCACTCTTATCGTTTAACAGAGAAGGGTAATATGAATTAAGAGAGAAAATAGAAGTTTGGTTTTGGAGGTAGTATAGCGGTTTTCATCAATAGACCCTTTTGAAAAATTTGCTTATCTTGCTATAATGAATCATTAAACTATTTATGATGTTAATAATTTATTTTTTTTGTACTTTTTTTATCAAATTTGTATTTCCATTTCCCAAAAAAAATTTGTATTTCCGTTATTAAAAATGAGGATACTTTTGTATTGATAAACTTTCACCGCATTAATTTTTATATGTTAAATAAATTGAGATTATGAACATTTTAAGTATTTATTCAAGATTTTTTACTGGATAATTTTGAAAAATAATGATTTTTATCAATTCAAAATTTATTTTGACATCTAAAAATAATGCTTTAGTTCAATCAAAGCTTCAGGATGTTTTTAGACACAATCTTTGGTAATTTGGTTAATTCTTGAAAAATATAATTTTTTGCTCAGGAGGATTTTTTGTTGCCTACCATTAAGACATTTTGACACTTTTGAACTAAGCTCAATTATGTTGTATTTACTGCAATGCATTGTTAATGAATGTGAATATGTCGTTATTATTATTATAGTATTATGATAATTATGTGTATGTAAAAGACAAATAAATATTGGTTGATCCGTTGGTTCAAGATTGATTAACTTGTATATGATAGTAGGCTGACGGGCTTTACTTTAAATAATATTGTTTGATGTTATCATCTACTGAATTATATGATACTAATTGAGAGTTATGATAAGTTATTATTATGCCAGCGGGCAAAGAGTAGTGAATTTATTTGCTTAGCCTACAATTTACCAACTATCAATTATTGATTATTGAAGAATATCGTGAAAGCCATAACCTCTTACTTGTTTAATCTGACTATTGAAATGTATATTAAGGATTCATTATTACTGTACATCTTTATTGATACTATATTGATTTACTATCACTATACATATTTATTTTTATTATATTATATCACTATTACAACCACTGGATTCACTAGTACGGATGTAAACATCAATACTATTACCAGTACTATTATTGATTCATTATTACTATTATATTGATTCAATGCATTAAAACACAGTCTCATAAGGTCTTCTAATACTTAAATTCTAACACCTACAGATTAATACACCATTCCACCTATTTTAACTCTACTTGATTCAAAGAAATTTATAGAAATTTTACATTTGAATCCTTCTATATGTGTTTGGGAATGTTCGGTGTGCATCAGAAGGTCTATATACATTCTGAAGTTGGTCTTAGGGGTTTGTTTGCATGTTTTGAAAATCTAGAATTTTCCCTTGGGTGCTACGATGCCAGGGTAGGTGACACTACTACATTAAGTCTCTAGAATTTGGTAAATTAATTAAGCGCGCCAGGGTTTGTGGTGGTGGTGTGACATTATGGGCTCCTGAGGGAGCGCTTCGACGCGCATGGTTAAGCACCATGACACTTGATTGAAAATATTATTTTTTACTATTCCACTCACTTCCACTCAATCAAGGCACATGGTTAGAGAGAGAGGAGGATTTTTAGAGAGATAGTTTGTTTAAAGCCTCTTCAGGTCATTTTTAACTGTTGGCCAAGTTCTAAAAATTATCTGGCTCGAGGTAGGCTATATTTTACCTATCTTAGTTATGAAAAATATGAGAATTTTTGAAATGTTCTAATTTAATTTATAATTTTATAAGGAAAAAATAACTTGTTGTTTGTATAACTTTCAGCGTATAACTTACTATATGTTATATATATGTAATAATTCTGAATATTTAGATAATTTTTTGAGAAATTTTCACCAAGTAAATTTGAAAATAAGGTTTGATAAATTAGAAAATCGTTATAGTTTTCAAAAATAATATTCTAGAATAGTTAAAGCTTTAAAATGATGCTCTAAACAATCTCCGATAATTTGGTTGTATTCTAAAATAGTGAATTTCTACTAAATAGTTATTTGTTGGAATTTGAAAAAGCTGTTTGAAAAGTTAAATTTTTTTAGAGAATTTAATTTATGTAATTTCAGTCTTAAAATTAAATAAGTCATTATAAATGTATATCACATAGGAAGGCAAAAATATCATTCTCTAATAGGTTCAAATGATAAAATTGAAAGTTTTATCCTGATATTAATAGTCAAATCATAGTAAGAACTGCATATGACCTCGAAGGATTAAAATGACATCCTACCAAGTATATAACTATTATAATCTGGACAAAATATCATTATCTTCAAATTCAAAGTGACAATAGTTGATATATCTTCCCAAGAGAAAAAAAGATATCATATATTATCAATTGATCTAATATGACGATAATGATCATCATTGGTTCTAATTTTCTCAAAGAAGATTAATTGAATTTTAGAAAATCAATTTTGAAAATAGATATGGGGTCTAAATCTCCTACAAGTATAACCCTAATAGTTAATTACATCATTGTAAACCTGAGTTTCTTATGAAGACTCTTGATTAAAATAATGGTAGAAATTTTATTTAGAATTTTTAAGGAATGATATCAAAGATGTAAAGTTTGAATTTTATACTAGGACTGGATCAAAGTTCAACACTTATTTTTGGAGGCAAGGAAGTGCCTAACAAAGGAATAATATCGCCTTGATAGAAATGTGTCTCCTATATAACTTCGACACACAAGTGCCCCACTAATAGAACCTCCAAAACCACCAGAATTGGCCATATTGTTGCCACCCATAACTAACACATATGGTCCATGTAATGCCCCATAATCCGAGTTGGAAGAATTGCACATCTTTTTATTATTTTTTCTAAACATAAATTAAAACTCACATAATTTTTTATAAGTGAAATACATAATTATATTATTGTTCATTGAATATTTATATATCCATCAAGTTCCCAAAATAATATATAGAATTCCCAATAGAATGCTACAAAATAAAAGCTAAAGACAAAGATCAGGTAATAAAACTTAAATGATCACCCATTGATTAGCCTCATTATGCAGGCTTTACATCCTTACTGAAATCAGGTAAAAATCACATAATGAGAACACATTCTATCAAGTAACCAAAATCTTATAATTGAAATCAATGCATGAAAAAAGAATCATTATGTTATAAATTATGTAAGGAAATTTATGAATCAATATAAATTATTCGTTCCAATCACTTATATCAATTTATCAATCTTTTACATATCACATCTTAGTCTATCAATTATATCAATGATCTTCATTATCAATCCTGATCATAATTCAATCTTTATTAGTTATTCAATTTGTTAATATTTCTTAATCTGTCTCATTCAATCAATCAATCTTATCATTTGTTTTATCTCATATGTTTATCAATTATATCAATAAATTAATTGTATCAATATCTTTATCATATATCACTACTATCTATCATATGTCAATATTATAAGTATTTTTTATTATGTATCAGATATTAAGATGAGGATATATTAATCTTGAGGGTATCTTAATCTTGAAGTTATCATAATCTTGCTATTGCATTTATGACTCCAATATCGATCTCCAACTCTTTATAACTCACATTTTAAGGTTATCATATTGGGTTAACATATCATATATTTGATATCTATTAGTACATTATTTCAATACACCTTATGGTGTTTCATTTTAGTCTTTCAGCTTCCCAATTTTATACACATATGCCAAATATTTCACCCTATCAGTATTCATACCATATTAGTGTCAATATCACAATTCAGTACATACCAATCATATCAATTATTTTAGGACATATCACATTTCAGTATCATCATACCAAAATTATAGTATAATACTTTTCAACCCATTTTCAATATACCTTTTCCTACTTATTTCACATAGAAATTTCTAGACATATATTTAACTAGTTAAAATATAATAAAATGATATGAAATTATTTAGAATGATCAAATCGATATCATATCAAAACATACATAGTAAAAGCTTATGAAAATTCTGTTCTGATTTGATCTGATCTGTATGCTTATGTTATGTTCTGATTCGATATACGATTCTGTTGATCTGATTTCTGTACGGATTTTTGTCTGATGTGTTTGATGTGGACTCTGAGGATTTTGATTGGAGGTTTGATGTCTTGCTGAGCTGTTGTAGCTCATCCTTGTTTTCTGCGTGGTTTTTAGGTTCTGGGAAGGGTAAATAAGTCCAGGAGTAGAAGTTCAGAGTCCGATCTGTTATAGGTATTTTGCACTTTTGATTTTTGTACAGTCATGGCTTTTCTGTTCTGCTTTTCTTTCTGTCTGAAAGCCATGAGCTGTATTTGTATATGATTCTTTTTGGGGAAGAAAAAGATAGATGATCTGTTCCGCTGCATTTGATGTTTATAGTAGCTCTGTGTGTGTCTGTTTTTGTATGTAATGTTTGGAAGAAAGTTCTGAAACAAATTCGAAAGCCAGATCCTGGAATCAGTTCAGTCAGTTTCAGTCTGGCCCACGACCCGATGCGAGCGGGATCCGTCCCGGTCGGGTTGGGTCGTGACACCTATCCTGACAAGAAATGAAATGAGGGAAAAGGGGGATGGTGTGGTGGTAGGGATATTTAAGTTAAAAAAAAAAACATTTTTAGTGTCTAGCACCACTATGCCCATGACCCAGTGTCGCTCCCAGAGTTATCATAGAGCAAATCCTTCAATGCTACTACGTCAATCCCTAGCTCATCGCAACACTTCTTTTGGAGAGTTGTCGCTTCCCTCAAGTGACTCATCGCTTGACTGATGGACTCACCTACACAAACTCACCTTACGCACTCACTTCTGAGTATTCACCTAAGGTACTCACTGCCAAGGATTTGCCCAACATATTCAACATAAACATCCCAAGCCACATGAGAGGTAGAGAGCCACATATATGTTTTCAACCTATTCCACGTATTTGTTTCAATCTAATTTAGTATATGATGCATTAATTAACTACTTCTTTTAGATGCAACACTTCTTAAAGCCATTTGAACCCTTAAATAAAAAATCAAGAGTCATATTTTGAATTTTGTCATTTTTTACTTTCCATAAAAATTATCATCTCTCCAATTACTCTCCATGCACATGGTTTCCTCATCCTATTCTTAGCCTAACTAATTAGTAAGATCAATGTTATCTACCTACAAATTTGAATCCAACAAATATATTACTATCTTAAGAAAATATATATCCTCAAACATCTTCCATCTAAGTATTAAAAATATCAAGGTTTATAGTAACTTAAAAGCATTTCTTATACATGTATATTATTCTATTACAATTATAAAAACTATGTTTAATTGATTCAATTAATTTATTTTAAATTTACTAAATTTTAACACTAAATCAAATCAAATAACTCAATTTCAAGAAAATGTAAAATATAGATCAAATCAATCAGTTCAGCTGCATTGATTGAATTTTTTTTGCATGAGAAACTTCTAATATATATTTGCAATATGACTAAAACATTTACCCAAAATAAAAAACATATTTAACTTAACTTACAAGACAATAAAAATTAATCTTCCTAACAATTAGTGATTTTGTGAGCAATCTTTGTGCAACAAAAAAAAATTATCTTATTCCTTTTATATAAATACTTGTAGGCTTAGAGAGAGAGAGAGAGAGAGAGAGAGAGAGAGACTTACAATCTCTGTAAATCTCTTCTTAGATGCAAAGCTAAGTAATATCTATAGAAAGTCTACTTCAATAGTGTCTCGATGCCATGTAATGGTCTCAAACCAGAATATTAAGCTTTATGAGAAGCAAATATCACTGCATACAGGAAGCATCAAATCCTTCCTTCAAATTCCTACAACAGTAATGCAATAGCCAGAGTCTCTCTATTTTCAGCGAGCAAGAGCCTATAATCTCACCTACAGCCAGGATGTTATATATCAATTTACAGCCATAATAAATCAGCTTTATGATCTGCAAATCATAGGGGGAAGAGGATTGGGGAGCCATTCCTGCACAGCTTATTATCAGATAGATCCAGTTTGCTCATCTTCTCTTCACACCATAGCAGCTGCTCTTTGCTTATATTAGCTATCCTCAGAACTCTCTTAACAATTTCTATGTCGATGAGCGCAAAGAGCAGATCGACTTCTATTGGTGTTGCAGGCCAGGATTTCTTCCATGCTTTTTTCTTGGAAAGCTCTTTCACTTTCATTTGTTTCTGTAGTTGAATCAATAGATCATTTGATGGTTTAAGGAAAATTTGGCATTGTAAACTATACATCAGTGGGAGAATAATACAGTTCCAGATTAGTTCAGGATCACATTGGGATGCTTGAAGCAAGAAAAATATTTAAGTTTAACAGGAAGAACAGTCATGATTTCAATAATGGAATATACGGTAACTTTTATTAATCATCATTACTAGTGAGACAAACAACAGACCAGAACTAATTAAAAGAGGTAAAAATATAATCTTATGATTTGTTTGGGATAGCTTTTTTGCTGCTTTCTAAAACAACTTTTTATTAAAAAAAATTCATAAATTAGAGATTTTTTAACTAGAAAATCGTTTTAGAAAGCAGCACAAAAACTGTCTCAAACGAAGCCTTAATAAATAATTGTGAACATTTTTAAGTATAGTCATGACCATAAAATTTAAATTTTTAACCGATCAGAAAGTGCTTTATAATATTGCTTGAACATGCATACCTTAGCAAGAGCTGTCTGGACCTGGTGAAGGGAGCTGATATCATGATTATGACCTTTGAATAAACTCAAAGAGCTACTTGTCTTATTTTTATCCCTCTTTAGAAAACAACGAAAAGTTAGAATGGAAGTCTGTATCAAATTTAAGAGCTGTGGCGCAAGTACTGGTGGATCTACATCATCGCTGTCAATTTCTTTGTGATCAGAACCTGAGAAAAAAAAAACCAGAATTCTCACTACAAAAAAGTATAAAAATTCTATACAAGGCAGACAAACTGCAGAACCCAGTGACAATAATCAAACTTAAGTATGTAGAGAGTAAATATCATATAGAAGAGGTCCTGTGAGAAACAAATATTTTATGCAACTCACTTTGGTATGTTGGTTATGAGAGCTATGACTACCAACCAATAAGTTTTTGGTTCGAGTCTCACGTATGTGAATTGTGTGTGAGTTTGTCTTAATTGAGATAAATGTCCCTGACTCTAAAAAACAAATATTTTGGACGGTGTAATGAATAATTATATTATAATACGGAAAAAGTATTTTCTCTTGAAGATAAGATAATTAAAAATAGATTAAATGAATATTTACATAAATGGTAAGAAAACATCCATTTGATGAGTAGATAAAATTTGCATTGTTGGATTATAGAGAAAAATGATAGATCTAAAATAACATGTATTGATGTAGTTCCAATATAATCAACAAGAACTAATGCAAAATGAAGATTAATTTAAAAAAAAAAAACCAATCTCAACTAGATGGGATAAAGCTAATGATGATAATATGCAAATACTTGAAAAGAAATTTCTTAAGCACTACATTTACTTATCTCTAAAGATCATAATTAATGATACAATTCAAGAGTGATGCCAATGCAATTTCTTTGAATGATCTAATTTCAATCCTAAAAAGACTTGGCTAGAAAATATTAGAAATGATCTTTCTTTATTAGATTTAAACAAGAATTTGACTTCTAACAGGACACAATGGAGAAAAAGGATTCATGTAACTGACCCCATGTAGTGGGACAAAAGTTTGATGTTTTTGTTGTTGTTGTTGTTGAGCTAATTTCAATCCTCTTTGTTAATGTCAACCAAGTAGATGTACAAAATTAGCAATGCCATGCACTCATGCAACCATGAAATAACCATGCAAGCTGTTAGGGAGTAATCCAACCAGAGACCAAAGTTCGGTGATGCTTCAATGATAAACTCATTTTCAACCTAAATGAACACCAACATCAACTATCCGATGAAAGAGTAATTTCAAACTCCAATCTCACCTTCAAGTAAAAACTCTTCAAATTGGTCATCACTCTCCCTCAAATAATTTTATTAACTCATGAAACTTCTTGGAGTTGTATTTGGAGTGATCCGCTCTTGAAGCTTGCTTAACCTTAGTAAAGGCAATCAAGACTCATGGAAGTCGTAAACTGCATGAGCCACTCAATCTCAACCAAACCATAAGATCTAATAACACTTTAGGTAATGTGAAACTGAAGGAATACCAAACCTAAGCTCAATACACCAATGTTAAAACATTTTTTAACCAAATACCCATTTGAGGAGGCCAATTCTTGGTATCTCAATACTAACATATTTTTAACTATTTGATTTGGAACAAAACCAAACATTCCTATTTGACTTAATAATATCCCTAAAATATATTTAACTATTTGATGTGAAAGAAAACCAAACATTCCTATTTGATTTAATAATATACTTCTTTTACAAGAGTTCTCTGCCTTGGTCAACATTCCCTCTCAAACAAAGCGTTTTACAATCATCAAGTATCATGCATCAGAGCCCACTTAGAGTCATGTGAGAGTTAACTCTCTCTTGAATTTGGTTTAATCATAGTATAAAAAGACAATACCAATGAGAATCATTAATCCCATGAATCACTCAACTAACAAACCATCAAAATTCTAATACCCATAGTTAGATATTAGGTGAATCGGACAAGAACCAAAGTTTGACCTGATATGCTATTGATCAAACTCATTTTTAACCCACTACCCAAGAAACTTGCACCTCTAAGAGAGAGCCATCCATTTAATATTTTTTACATCATTACCATTATTGATGAATATACACAATCTATTATGGAATGTTTCTTCATTGTTGAAAATATTCTTCTTTGACTATTTTATTTAAGTATTCTTGTCTTTATTTATATATAAGCAATATATGTTTTTTACTAGCAAAGTGAATTCAATGAAGATGTATTTTTTCCAATTCTCTCCCCCATTCATCATGGTGTTAGAACCCTAACAATATTCTTTAAATACCTTCCTACCACTCTTTAAACTTTTGATCTACATCGGCTTGCACTCACATTTCCTTTCAATTGCGACCCATCTCTGCTTTACCAACTTATCCCTCAGTGAGATCCTTATCTTGGCACTTGGGTCTTTAGCAAAGACAATATCAATATCTTTCTTTCTTACTATGTTGATGCTCTCTATCAATATTCTTCGTCACTCTATTGATGCCTCTATCAATAGTCGGATCAATACCCCTATTTAATTATTTGTTCCTTCTCTAACACAAATTTTGTTATTGATTTTTGCATCTGAGTTATAATACTCTCTCTCTAATTTGAATCGATCATACTCCTCTTGTGACACTCACAATATCTAAAGATAATTTTTTTGACTGCAACTCTTGTCACTAATATCTATTAGAGCAACAGGAACAAAATAATTAATTTGTATTTTCATGTTGCCAACTGTACGGTTGTATGAATGTAATTGTTATAAATAGGACTGTAGACCTGTAATAAGATTAAGAAATAATATTTCATTTCCTTTATGCCTTTCTCCTTTCTCTGCAATTTCTGTCTGTGAATTCGGTTCTTCATCAAAGATTCAAGAAACTTGAATCTTGTATTTCTACATGGTATCAGAGCCTGCCTAACTGATCCAGGGCAACAATGGCTGCTTCTTCTTCTTCCTCCCAGACGGAGGCTCACCTGGCATCTTCCTCTCCTTCAACTCCGGCGATCTCATCGTCGCTAAAGTTTGTTCTCTCGAACCTTAAAAGCTTCGTTCAAAGCCCGCTCTCACTGGACAACTATCATCTATGGCACTCTCAGATTCTCAAAATCTGCAGAGCCAACGGGTTCGCAACATTTCTTGATCGTTCAACTTCAATCCCACCGGAGACCATAAATCAACCGGATGGATCTTCCACCCCGAACACAGAGCACGCTCAATGGCTTCTTACCGACCAGAATCTGGCGGCGGCCATATGCTCCACGATTTCAGCATCTATACTTCCTTACGTACTGCATCTTGAATCTACGTCCGAAATATGGCAAACACTAGAAACCCGGTTTCAATCCACCAACCGATCCAAAGTGATCCAGCTCAAGAACGAGCTATATCATATTTCTCTCAAGAACTCCACCATGGTGCAATACTTAAATGAGGTTAAAATTCTTGTAGACAATATTGCGGCAGCCGGCTCTCAGATTGATCCCGAAGAAATTATTCTTCACATTCTTAATGGGCTACCGCCGGCCTACCAGTCATTCAAAACATCCATAAGAACAATGGTTACTCCGCTCAGTCTCGATCAAATTTACTCACTCTTAAATAGTGAGGAAATTCATATAGCCGCTGACAGTGCAAGGCTCACGTCATCCACTGAACCCTCTCATGCCCTGTATGCAAACAGGGGGCGCGGACGTCGATCAAGAACACGTCCACCTTCTAACTCGTATCCAACAAATGACAACACTTCTACAGTCACGCAATCTTGCCAGATCTGCCTCAAGAAAGGGCATACGGAGACGGACTGTTGGCATCGATCAAACTTTCAATATGTCCCAAGACAGGCAAAAGCTCAGCCCCGAGCACTGCTTGCGGACAGCAACCAATCTCATACCGATTGGTATCTTGACTCTGGTGCATCATCGCATATGACTCGATCACTTGACAATCTGTCCATTTCAACACCTTATCACGGTCCGGACGGAATTATCGTCAGCGACGGGAGTTCGGTTAGCATTGAAAATTCCGGTCGCGGTTTGCTACCGACTCCCTCTTATAAGCTCACTCTATCTCAAATATTTCATACACCTGCAATTCAATACAATTTATTGTCGATTTCACAATTAACTAAAGATAACAATGTATCCATTACATTTGATCCAAGCGGTTTTGTGTTTAAGGATATGCAGACGCATCAAGAACTACTTCGGGGACCTTGCCATAATGGACTTTATCCGATACGAGCTCCGGTTGCTCCCACCCAAACGAAGGCTCTTCGAACATCTATCCAGAAAGTTCCGCCATGGCATCAGCGATTGGGTCACCCCAATCACCGCACTATTGCTTCTATTGCTTCGTGTAATAAACACTTGCTTATACATAATATCAGTGATTCTTGTCACTCCTGTAACACATCCAAGTCTCACAAACTTGGATTTGAACACTCTTCTAATAGACAATCTACTATTCTTGCGTTAATTCATACGGACGTATGGGGTTCGGCTCCGGTTGAATCTAATACTGGATACCTATATTACATTATATTTGTGGACGACTACTCTCGATTTACGTGGCTTTACCCTATGCACTGTAAATCAGAGGTCTTTAGTATATTCACTGATTTTAAAACGAACGTTGAGACCTTTACCTCCCAACGAATCAAATGCATTCGCACAGACGGGGGCGGTGAATATTCGAGCACGGGTTTTGAGCAATTTCTCAAACAGCATGGAATATCTCATCAACCCGTGCGATGATGACCACAGCTCATGTTCCTTACACATATTGGCCGGATACGATGATTACTGCTACCTATCTTATAAACTGTTTACCTTCGGCTAATACTAATAACATTTCTCCCATGGAACTGTTTTATCACAGGAAACCCAACTATACCGAGCTCAGAGTTTTCGGATGCGCATGTTTTCCATACATCCCATCTCAATTTCAGCACAAACTGCAACCCAAAGCAAAATTATGCATTTTTTTGGGTTATTCACACAAATCCAAGGGTTACAAAATAAAATCATTATATCAAGAAATGTTAAGTTTGATGAAAACTCTTTTCCCTTTGCAGATGCTGGACCGCTCTCTACTCACTCCAAGCAGGATCCATCACCTCTGTTTTTAACTCCCTTAGCTACATTACAAATCAACACCACAAATAAGACAAACAAGTCATCTACTTCCACGACACCGCCTCAGCAAACTCCTTCTGACGTTCCACTAGAGCCCCCATCGGCTATAACTACTCAGAATACCACTGCTGAGAACAACATTCCTGCACTACCGAACATCGGACATCATATGCAAACAAGGAAGAAAACCGGCTCACTAAAACCACGGATCAGACTCAATCTAATGCACCAAACCTCTGCTCCATCTCCGCATCAAACTCCCTCATCCTTTCATGAGGCAAACAAACAGAAAGAATGGCATGAGGCCATGTCATCAGAATTTTTTGCACTACAAACTCAAGGCACTTGAAGCCTTGTTCCCTGCCCGAAAGACAAAACAATACTAGGATGCAAATGGACATATCGTACTAAGCTTCATGCGAACGGTTCCATTGCCAGTCACAAAGCCCGGCTGGTCGCTCAAGGTAATAATCAGGAATTCGGGATTGATTGCACTGAGACATTTAGTCCAGTTGCTAAACTACCATCAATCCAGATTCTTTTAACGATCGCTCTTCACAACAATTGGCATGTTCATCAACTCGATGTGGCAAACGCTTTTCTTCACGGTAGGCTCACCGAAACTGTCTACATGCGTCAACCAATTGGATTTGAAGACACCACCTATCCGGACCATGTCTGCCTTCTCCACAAAGCAATTTATGGTCTCAAACAAGCACCACGCCAATGGTACAACACATTCACCTCGCATCTGGAATCAATTGGCTTTCTCCAAAGCTCATCCGATCCTTCTCTTTATATCTTCCGCAAGAATCACATTCAATTATTCCTGTTAATCTATGTTGACGACATACTTCTAACGGGAAATGATCCTCAAGTTCTTCAACATGTCATGCAATGCTACACACCAAGTTCACAATGAAACAACTTGGCGAGGTACATTCGTTCCTTGGTATTCAAATTACACACACTAACAATGCTTACTTCTGTCTCAGTCCAGCTATACGAAATCTATTCTCCAAATGGCAAACTTAAGTGATTGCAAACCGCTGGCTAACCCGATGTGCACAAAGTTGCCGCAGGATTTCTCGCCGGACACTGTGCTGTCTGACCCGTCGACTTACAGAAGAATTATTGGATCCTTGCAGTACTTAATCCTAACTCGTCCGGACATCGCGTACAGCGTGAATCTTCTTTCGCAACATATGCATGAACCTCAACCTCAACATATCTACTTGCTCAAATGACTGCTTCGTTATCTTCAAGGTACGATCGCTTTTGGTATTCCTATTACGAAGTCTAATCTGCGCCTCACTTTATTTTCATATGCCGATTGGGCGGGTGATCCAGTTTCTAGGAAGTCTACCTCCGGTTACTGCTCATTTCTTGGGAATACTATCATCTCCTGGACAGTCAAGAAGCAAACCACGGTGGCTCAATCATCCACAGAGTTCGAATATAGGGCGCTAGCCGCGCTCACGGCTGACATCATTTAGCTTCGCCGACTTCTTACTGATTTTGGCGTTCCTCAAACGACTTATACAGATATATATTGCGACAATACATCAGCTATAGCCATAGCTAATAATCTAGTTTTTCATGCTCGCACAAAACACATTGAAATTGACCATAGATTCATCAGAGATCATATTCATCGACATACGATTCGTATCATGCTAATTAGCACCATAGATCAACCGGCAGATATTCTGACTAAATCTCTTTCTACTCCTCGATTTCACAAACTCCGAAACAAACTGACGGTCGTCGACAGGTCATCAGTTTGCGGGGGCGTATTAGAGCAACAGGAACAAAATAATTAATTTGTATTTTCATGTTGCCAACTGTACGGTTGTATGAATGTAATTGTTATAAATAGGACTGTAAACCTGTAATAAGATTAAGAAATAATATTTCATTTCCTTTATGCCTTTCTCCTTTCTCTGCAATTTCTGTCTGTGAATTCGGTTCTTCATCAAAGATTCAAGAAACTTGAATCTTGTATTTCTACAATATCTTTAAGCTCAAGTTCTACAACATCTTGAGTTTGCGGTGTTACTACATCTAAATTATCACATGTCTATGATTTATAATAGGAATATGCAATATTTATTATTATAACATTTTATAATTATTGAGAATATTCTCTTTTATTGTGTTTTCATTGATTTGTATCTTCTCTTACAAGCACATATATGCTTTTTCTAGTGTAGACAATTTAGTAAAGATATAGTCTTTCTGATTCTCTCCCTCTTCTAACATGCACCAGCATACTTTCTAACTATTAATGTGGGATTGAACCCAACCCCTTCACATGCCTTAACACAAGCAATACTTAGCTCTTCATTTATAGTAAATAAAGCAGAAAAGCATCAAAATTCAGTGTTCCTGGTTCCCTTTCTATGCAATTAACCAGCACCAAGTCTGAGTCAATTGTCTCCAACAGCATTGTCACAAAATTACCTAGTCCATACATCTAGGGTACAAGTCTGTCCAAATTACAGCTACCAACTGAAACGAAAAAAAGAACTTAATAATTCAATCAATTCTGTATGATAATAAGAATGGACAGTAAAAGCTCCATGACCCATTATTGTAACTCTAGCAACTGAGAAAAGGCTTGGGAAACTCTTTAATACAAGTACATGTAGAAGTGCGTATGAAATGTATTTATGCACATTAACATCTTTATATTTCATGAAATCATATCTCTGCTTGCAGGAATGCATACCCATGCATTTATATAGTGCATCAGAAAGGACAAAAAGATTCTGGAATTAAACATGCCTGCCTGAAACAGAAAGCCAAAACTGAGGTACGCCAACATAACAAGGTGCAATAAAACCGAAGAACAAATCTACAACTAACTGGCATTCTCCTGAGCCACAATAAGAAGCTTACCAGGACTGACATACAAAAACATGGTAACTTTATCATAATAAGATTTCTCAGTGTGGAAAGCTAAGAAAATGATGGTGCTGTAGATTGTGGAATAGCAATGATGTTTAATGGACTAGTATGTGATTGTAGCACATGCCTTGAAGAGTAGGAACCTGAAGCAATTTGGGCAGGGAACTACGAACTCGGGCATAAATATCGACCCTCGAACCCTGCTCAAATGGCTCACTTTCGATAAATCTCAGCAGAAGAACCTGAAATTGCTGTAATTCTTGAGCAGAATGACCATATGAGGAGGATGGATTCTCAAGCTGAGATGACACCTGCTGGCTCAGTTGAATATATTGACAGTGCAGTATCTCCCATGATAAGCAGATTTGGGAAACATAAGCAGTTTCAAGATAATGATTTGTTTCATCCTTCACTGGTGGCTGCAGTTGTTCACAGTCACCAAGAATGTCATATTGCCTTTTGAAAGAGAGACTCTTAAAGGCCAAAGATAACCTTTTGGTTGCATATCTAGGTGATTGATTTGAATAATTCCATGAGCCTGTACGCAATACACTTATCAAAACCTCACATATTATGTGGTGAAAATGCATCAAGCTAAATAGCATATATAGGCGATTGATTTCAAATAAACTGTTCATTTTGCTAACCAATAAAAACAACTTGTTAGAATGAGATGAATTAATAACTTAATATCTAAAACCTTGAAGAAAAAAAAAAGCCAACTCTTTCATTTAACAACAAAATATTGTTCAGAATCCATTACAGCCGTGCTTTAAGCTGAGTAAATCCTAGCATTTTCTAATGCATCAATTGATTAGAAAGATTAAAAAATATCTAATCTTTTAAGAAATCCTAAGCAGACAATAAAGATTTTCTCTCTACCAAAAGGCTCACAACAGTAGCAAAAACACATTTGTTGGATTCATGAATTATAAACTGCTGAAGATGCCTTGAAAATTTTGTTGATTTCCCTTCAAAGAAGGATCTAGTAGTAAATTTAAATTTTAGCATGTTAAAGTTTAAAAGAAACTTTGGGAAATCAAGTCATTAATAAGAGTACATGTTTTAGATAGCTTGGGTCTATTGTTTAGAGTGATGATGAAATAGATAGGGATATTATTAGCAGAATTCAAATTGGATGGTTGAAATGGAGGAATGCATCAGACTTGTTGTGTGATAGAGAAGTTTCCCATAAACGTAAGGAAAAATTATATAAGATGGTGGTGAGATCTGCAATGCTCTATGGTGCAGAATGTTGGCCATTAAAAGAAAAGCGTAATATTAAGTGCTGCAGAGATGAGGATGCTCAGGTGGATGAGTGGCTTTACTCTTAGAGATGGGATACGAAATGAGCATATACGTGAAAAGCTCGGAGTAGCTCCAGTGGAAGATAAGATTAGAGAGAGTTGCCTTAGATGGTTTTGTCACATAAAGCGTCAGTCTTTCGATAACCAAGTTAGGCAAGTAGACGTATTAGATTTGACTTATGTTAAGAAAAATAGAGGTAGACCTAAAAAGACTTGGTTAGAAAATATTAGAAATGATCTTTTATTTTTTATATTTAAATGAGAATTTGACTCTTAATATGACATAATGGAGAAAAATGAGTCATGTAGCCAACCCAACGTAGTGGACTAAAAGCTTGATGTTATTATTGTTGTAAAGTTTAAAAGATAGGCATTTGAAGATCTTACAAAGCATATAAATACAATCCGCAGATGATCTAATCAAATGAAGTTAATGCAATTATTACCATTTTTTGTTTATTCACAAAAGGACATTTTATACGAGAACAAAGCCCAGAATATTTGGTAGCTCGTCACCAAATTAATCAAACTTCATGCAATACATCTTAAGATAGTACATAAAGTTAAGAGAAGGGGACCCATCTTTTCCTAAAATTTCTGATAGAATAGAAAATGATTTTTTTTTTTGGGAGGTAAAACAGAATATGAAGTAACTTTAGAGAAACATGCAGAGATCTACATTAAATGAAATCAAATCAATGCCAGAACCAAATTATACCTGCTTCTTTCAAGTGCTGCACAATCATCTTGTCAAAGTAGAGCATTCTCTCACAATAACTAATGTATAATGTATCAAATCCACACCAATGAAACTCAACCTCAACTTCAGATTCCCTCCACTCGCTGGAACTCATCTCTTCTTCTTCTTCTTCCAGGCAGGATTCCTCCGGTATAAGAACCATGAAACTGTTCTTTCTCAGCTCTTTAAGCCTTTTCTTCACCTCATTCGCGATAACATCATCATCATCGTCATCTTCTTCCTCCAAAACGCCATCTTGATCACCTTCTTTTGACAAAGACTCCGTAATCCCCTCCTTCCACTGCTCTATCGCTTGCATTCCATTCTTTTCCGGATCCATCTCTTCTTCTGCTTTAGACTTCCGGCCAAGCCTCAGCCTCTTCACTTTGAAGAAGTCCATGTAAGTCTACTCAAATCTCCCTTCGTTTTTAGAACGCAGTTAACTTCATTTATCTTGGAATAGTTAAAATGCCCAGAATCTTAACACCAAAAACCCCACAAGATCCTCCTAATCTACTACATTCTCCCCACCAAGCTGATGAAGCCACAGAAACTCAAAATACATGCTACAAAAAGAAATCTTTTTTCACCTTTCTTCTTGTCTTCTATGTGGGAGAACTAGAACAGTACAAATCAAAGAGATAATGCAGGACAAAATCAGTAAAACAACCAGAAAGCTGGAGCAGTAAGAAAATGTGCGGTAGTGCAACCCCACGAGACCACAATCTCCGTTCAGGGATACAAGCTAATACCCGTAATGTGGGTTGCTTAAACCCTAGTAAACTCGGAAAAGATCCTCATTTTGAGAGGCGGACGAGAGAACACAACAAAACTCTTCTCCTTTCCCTTCTCTCAGAGGACTGCGGCTCCTGGTGCACTGATGTGAGCTCATTTGAAGGAAGTGTTCTGGAGCTCCGGGCATAATAAATGCTCGTCGGCCATGGCAAGCGGGTGTCGAAGTAGGAGCGTTACTGTAATATATAATAATTTATAATATAATATGCATTCAAAAGGAGAAAATTTTAGCTGAGTAGATCTCAAAATGTTTTGCTATTAAGTTATACTAGCATTTTTTATTACTGTGTTTTATTAATGGCTAAGTTGATAAATCTAAAAATTATGTGAAATAGTAGATGATAAATTCTATTAAATTTTTATAAATTGATTGAATATATATTTCAAGATTTAAGTTTTATGTATTTCAGGATTTAAGGCATTAAAACATATAGAATTTAAGTTTTAATTTATTATAAAAATGAAAATATTTTTTATAATTAGGTATAGTTGTTGGATTTAAATTTGTTCATGAGTGATACGTGGCCTTATTAGAAGGCGAGCTCTAGTGGTACATCTAAAAACCTGTGGAAGAATGGAGAGAAAGAGGAGAAAGATCCATACAATTGCTAGAAAATGTAAAGAATCCAACATATTCTTCTTCACCTTTTATTTATTGAGATCAGAGTCGTACAAGAAAAGTTGCATCAATAATGAAAAAAAAAATACATAAGATGATGACTCGTATCATAGACTGCCTAAGACACATGCAACATGCTAACTACTTGATAGATGATTGCTCATCTTAATCATATTGCTTTGTCATGAGGGTGTGCTGAGTTGGTGAGGGCGAGTCAACTAGCGAGAGTTGAGCCGAGAAGGCTATAGCTGACTAATAACATTCCTAGGTCATTGACGACCTATGGCAGAGCCATGGATCGTATAGGTTGGAGGTGATTATGTTTAGTTTGTAGGGATGACAGCCTTTGTGATAGCCTAACTATGATTGCGACCTGGAGCCCTTCAAGATGGATGCTTTCTTGTAGCTGAGCTGATGAACATTGTTGGTGGCACTCCGTCATGGACAACAAAAAGTGGTCACCAATAGACGAAAAGTTGACTAGTGTATTGAGTGATCCTCGAGGACCCTTGATTGTCCTTGTGAGGGGCGACTCTCTTCGAAGTCCCATGCCGAGTTAGGTTTATGGTCCTTGGGTGAGCTACCTTGTGGGCCCACAAGATATGAGTCTATTTGCTATGACATGTCGACTACCTATTGAATACCTGAAAAGGCATATACTAGTATAGCATAATAATTATAAATATTAAGTATAGTAGCGAGTATATTAAAACATATAAGAATAAAAATAATTAAATATCAATATTTCTCTGTTGCCTAATGTCACCTAGTTGAGCAACATCGCTCTCATTATATATGATTAGAGTATATAATGCATTTATAAATGGAGGGAAAATGAGATTTAATAAACCATAGGATTTATTTGCACCTTTCTAGTTGTTTGAAGGATTGACAATAAATCTCACATGAATCCTCCTTAAAACTATATAGTGTACCTAGTTAGGGCAATAAATTATACATTGTATTGTATCAATGATCGACTCCCTTGAGCCAATCTCATAAATATTTTTCGCATATACTGAAATGCAAATAGAGGTACAAACGATGACCTTAAAACATTTATAAACTCTACCCATTTATCAAAAAGATCATCACCCCCTGAAAATTATTATTTTGTTAGCCCGACCACCAGTACTCAACTTCTCAATCTAACAAAAATATAACCAGATATATCTTCCTTTTAGGATGGCACTACATGCCATCAAAAGTCTTTTCTAACCTTATTAGGTAATCCTCTATTTCCTTAGACTCAATAACTCCCTAAAATCTCGCAGGCTTCAACCTTAGAAATATCTGTAAATGCTTGTCCAACTCATTATACATGATAAATGCTTGTCCAACTCATTATAAATGACAAAGGAAATATTTCTATGGGTTGCAACCATCAACTATACTACCAAACTAATAAACTATGATATAAAATCTGAGGTAGCAATGAGAGTAATGCTCTACACCGACACAGATTGACTAACACTCCACCCATTAATCATATTAGGGTCTTGCGAATCCATTAGATAATCACATGAACACATGGCTGAACATAAATATGCATATGAAAACAAAATAGGATGAAGGCCTAAAACTATCCATAACTACATCACTTGACTACATATCAATTCTTATAGCTATGTTTTATAAACAGTTACTTAAAACTAATGTTCTAATACCAAAAAGGGATTTTCAAAACCCAACCTAATATAACCCATAAACTAAACTTGTCATATCATGTTGGATGGTGGCAAACTAAGCCCAAGATATAATTTTATAGGACTCTTCATATTTTTTTTAAATAATAGATAATAAAGCTACTAATTTACCTCCAATGAGCATAAAAAATAAACTCAATCATAATCTTGGCTATTATATATTTTGCTCTGCTCTATTCTATCCTGGTCTATGGCCATGCACTATAGAACAAATTATATATATATATATAACAAAACTCAGTAGGTAACGCTTGCCGATATTAGTTTTTAATAATTAACCCATTACGTGCATATTGAATTAAGAATAATTATTAGCATGATATTCTACTAAACTGAGTAGTGCTAATAGATAATAGAAACTAAATAGAATTTTTTATGAAAGTAAATAAATAAGTAGTTCATATGTCATAGTAGAAAATAATAGAGTCCCCACATGCCCTTATAACTCAATATACTATCATATCAGAAAACAAACACTTATGACTTCCGAATACCTAGCATATCATAAATTTAAAATTTTAGACTCTTATCACTCCTAGTGCATTCAACACAATAAAATTTTCTCCAATATTAGAACTCCTCAAAATCACACATTTTTAGTCGATAAGCACATATATAATTGCATTTTAATAAAAGAAAAATAAATAATAAAAATGAAGGAATTTATACAATGTTATACTGGTAGCCCATGAATTCATCAACTTAGTAGGATTACATAATTTTAGAATTTCACTAGATTACCATAGATTATTTGGAACATTATTTTAAAGTTTTAAAGTTTCTACAGTGTTAATTTCTGAGGTTAGAATTATTTTTTAATTTTCTAGATATGACGCACTTTTAATTTACCCAACAAAATTTAATTTCTAAAGAAATTACCAAAATATTCAGAATACTTATATCTATAACATATATAAAGTTACAAGCTAAAAATATAGTGAATATGAAGTTATCTTCTTTTTTACACCACGAGATTATATTTCAATAAATAAATTCAAAAACTTCCACATTATTAAAAATTGAGATATATAGAATGTAACATATTTCAATCCGGATAACTTCCTAAATTGGGCCAATATTAAAAAAGTATTTAAATCGTTCAAAACTAGCTTTCTCTCTAGAATATGTCCATCTCTCTAAGTCGCAACTAAGGGGATTTTCATTTTGCCAAAATGAAATTAAAATGTATTTTGATTTTCTTATAAGACTTTGATCTGGTGTTGCGGCGCTCTAAGCATAAGCGCTGTAGTGCCCAACCACAACTTTCCTATATTTTCCTAAAATATATAGGGCTCAACGTCCCAATGTTGTTGTAGCACTCTAAGATTAAGTTTTGGAAGAATTGCTTATTTTAATATCCTAGTTATTCAATAAGATATTATATGAATTCATCAAAATAAATCAATTTTGCAGTGTCAACTAAAAATTATAAACATCAAAATATAAAATTATATTCATCCCTTAAAATTCATGTATATAAGTCAACAGATCAATCATTACGTACATTTCAACTTTCTAAGCTCCTAACTACAAAAGAATAAAACTAAAGGAAATATATAAACAAAATAAAATTTAAATCCCATATCTATATTCACTCCATTGGATTCAGGCCCCTTCTTAAAAGTATGTAAAACTACTACAAAGTGAGCTAATAATTCAGTAGGTTATTAGAACATACAACTAAAATTAATACAAAATAATATGAATAATATACATGTAATCATTCAATCACTGTAAGTATTAACATATTACTATAAAAGCATATAATAGTCAATAAAATAAAAACATGTCATATGATCAATAAATATTAGTACTATATATCTTAAAAATAATGAACAGTAACCCAATGAATAGTGATTAGTCAATTATATCATTCCTTCCAACTATTACAAAATAGTTTATATAATATCTTATTATATCAATACACCTCTCATTATCATATGCATGTCGTATAGTGTCTATGATTTGCATTAATATCATGTAAATCATATGATTCATATACATCAAATGTCATATATTAGTTTTATCAGTATTATCAGATGCTAGTGTCAATCATAACTATATCTTATAAAAATTATGTCATATTAATTTTATACATTTGCAAGAACTATAAGCAAGAAAATGCATCCAACATAAGCTATAAGCTAGGTTTCTCTCTCCTTCCCTTTTTCTTTTTCTTCTCAAATTCTCTCTTCTGCTCTCTGTTAAACGAAATGAGAAATATGATATAGCTTATGTAAATTTCTTTTGATGGAAATATATGTTTATAATAAAGTATTCTTAGGATGTAAATATAATTATGCTAACTGTTCAATTATTAGAATAAAATTATTATAAATATTTTTAGATCATCAAATCCAAGAATCCAAAAATAATAAAAAAAAATATTCATAAAATAGCCTAACATGTCTAGAAGACTCTGGAAAAATCAGTTTGTAGAACGGAAACCTAACGATTCTAGAAAATCCACTTGTATCAATTCATGTCAATTTCTTAAGGAATTACAATATATTACTTATTATATTCATATCTACTCTAATGATAAAATTAAAAAATAATTATAATTAAAGCACAATAAAATCTATAATATGATGAAGATGATTTATAAATTAGACTTGTTGCGTCCAGGAGTATTCGCGGCGGTAGAGAAATATTATATTTAACGTCTTAGCATTGTACGAAGATCTGGCACGCAAGCAGATAAGGAGAGAGGGTCTAGCATTTATGAGACAAATTAGACTTATAATGACTCCTAAAATATTATTTGGCTAAGTCAACATATGGGCTATTGCAATCTCCTTATCTTTGAA